AAAGGTGTTTAGGAGCCAAACTCTGGGTATTCAGTGTGTTTGTTGTTACAGGGATTTATTACTTTAGGACTCTTGGTAGATAGAACAAGAAAATATGTCTTCATACAGATACGTACATATGCATGTATATTTGACATGATACATTCATCTCTATCTATATCTATATTTTAAACATGACTGCACCCCAGTTCCTCCAATTTTAGTTCAGTTCCTCAGGTCTTTTATAGCCTTCTCTTTTTTCACATACATTTTTGCTAATGAGAAGTCTAGCTGCCCTTATCCTCAAAATACTTATGATTTTCACAATCTCATCATATATACTTAATCTCCCAACATTACTGGTTGCCTGCTTGGCCTCCAAACATACCATCACCCACCTGACCTCACTACCTCCTCAACTCTTAGTGCCACCATTACTGTATCAGCTATAGGCTAAATATTTGTGTCCCACTGAAATTCATGTATTGAAACCTAATACCCAATGTGATGGATTTGGATGTGAGGCCTTTGGGAGGTGATGGGGTCATGATAGTACAGCTCTGTGAATGGAACCAGTACCCCAGAGAGCTCCCTTACCTCTTCCACTATGTGAGCACACAGCTGTAGGGAAGGAAAACTTCCCTTCTTCCCTTCTAGGTTCTTTGACTGGTCTAATAATTAAATTGACATAAGACAGATTAGAGGAGAAAACCAAATTTTAATTTAATTTAATCTTTATGGAAACCTCAAAGATATAAGGCTCTCCAACAGTCAGGCAATTAAGGTGATATTCCACCCTTTCCCAGGAGAAATTTTTAGAAGTCTCAGACTTCAAAAGGCACAAAGAAAATTTATGGGAAGATGGAAAGAGCAAATGTTTGGTAATCAAATATTGGCCATGCCTTCAGAGACAATGGACACACAGAGCTTGAAAGCTCATACTTTTTATAGTTATTTCTGTTGATAGCTTTCTTCCTAGACCAGGCCCTCTATCTAAATGTGTTTAGGCAGTTAAAGGGGAGGAAAAAAGCTCCTCCTGAGTCTCCTGGGTCCTGATTGTCTTCAGCTCAAAACAATCCATACATCAAAGTGGCATACTCAGGGGTGGCCTGCCTGAAACCCATCACAGTGAAAAGGCAGCTGTCTATGAACTAGAAAATGGGCTCTGTCCAGACAACAGGTCTGCTGGCTTCTTGATCTTGGACTTTCCAGCCTCCAGAACTGTGAGAAACAGATTGTCTGTTGTGTGTAAACTACCTAGTCTATGGCCTTCTATTATAGGAGCCCCAATGGAGTCAGCCTCCTAATCCCAAAGAAGCCACCACCTATGGAAGGAATGGGAAGCAAGAAAAGTATGTCTATTTGATACTGCTCTTCTCCTTCCACCTGGTAAACCTTTCCTTCCTCACTCTTACCTGTTTCACTCAATAAGAACCCCAAGAGAGCTCAAGGGGCAGCTCTTCTGTGATGCCTTTAACTGTTTGCCCATCTACATCTCCAAAGGAACTTAGCTAAACCTTTGTGCTTTTATTGACAGGCAAGGCCACATCTTACTTTTCTTGTCTTTAGTGCCTAGTATTATTTTGATCCATATTAGAAACTGGCTAAACATTCATAAAATGAGTAATTAAAAAAGGAAAATTCTTCCACAATAGCTTGGTAATTAACATTTCAAATTCATACAGACCTAGCTTTACTATTCACAGGTTATGTGAACTTGGGAAGGTTTGTATCTCAGTTTGTTTGGGCTACTATAACAAAAACACCGTAGACTACGTGGGTTAAAGACAACAAACGCGATGGTCTGGACAGTAGGAAGGCCAAGATGCAGGCACCAGCAGAGTCAGGCCTGCTGAAAGCCTGTTTCCTAGTTCAGAGATGGGTGTCTTTCCCCTCTGTCCTCACATGGCAAATGCATCAGGGGAGCTTTTAAAGGTCTCCTTTATGAGAGCTTCACCTTTCGTGACCTAATCACCTCCCAAAGACTCCACCTCCAAATATCAGCACATTGGGGATTAGGTTTCAGCATATGCATGTTGGGGAGATACAAGTATTCCATCTGTATCATTATTTAACTTCTCTGACCTTCAGTTTTCTCATCCATAAATGGAGATGACAATAGTTCCCTCATAGGATTGTTATATATTAATTCCATAAAGTTGTAATTAGTATTAGTTACCAATTAATGTTTTCAAAAAATGTTTTTACAGTGCCAGTACTGTTTTAATGCTGAAAAAATGATAGCTGCTATCATTAATAATTGTTCTTTGTGCGTAATCTCTACTATGGCACTCATCTGTTGCATATTAATTATTTGTTGAGGCATCAGTTTTGTTTCCTGGGTAGAAAAGTTTTTCAAAGGCAGTGATATATAATAGGTATACATTTATTTTACTTACTGCATATTGCTTTTCAGTCTCAGAAACTGTTGCTTCAAAATTACACCCTTATTTGAAAATATATCCTTGATTTTAAAGAATGTAGTATTAAAGGAGCAAAGAAAAGTATGGTTTCAAAATAGTAGAGTAAGCATTTAGTCTCAGTCCTGACCCAAAGATGATAGAAAACGTATTAAAAAATACTCTGATGCTTCAGAAGAGAAAGGAAAATATATCACTTGTTATGAGACTGTAAGGGATCCCTAAGATAAATAAATATAAATAAGCATATAAAGGTATATGTGAAATATAGAGGTCTGCTGAGATTTTCATGAACCAGTGCCACTCTGGAGGCTGTTGCTGCAGTTTCTGCACAGGAATCCGTTGTGCTTTGGGCAGAAACCTCCAGGGAAGAGGTCACGGGCAGTCCTGAGAAACTGAAGAGAAAGCCACAGAGTGAAATATTTCAGCTGCAGAGCCAAATGCCCAGAAAAGGAATGTGAGTCCAAGGTAGTTATCAAGAGGAAGGTCTCCCCAACTCAGGATGCAGACCACACAAGGGGACTGTGTCACAGATCAGTAAAGGGAAGAGGTTACACCCAGAAGTACAAAGTGATTTTGATGTTAGAAAAAATAAGGCTGAAGGTGATGATGGGGATACAGGACCTGCATAGTTACAGAGTAACAAGCCAACAGGAACATGTCTCTGAAAGCTTGTTCCAACCACCAGGTTTGTTCTCTGCCAAAGCACTTCCTCCTGCACCTCTCATCATAGGCTTAACAACTATTATGATTAACCACATGTATTTTCAAATATTCTGCCTTGGAAAAAAATGTAACAGTATTCTCTAAGTACACTTCTGCTTATACTCACGGAAACAGAATTAAAAGAACAATTAGAAAATAATTTTAGATAATTATACTGGATATACTTACAAAATAAAGGTGAAAACTGTATCCATGAAAAAATAATAGGAGGTTATGAAGCAACAAAATATAATAATCATTAAATATTAGGAAATGACAACATAATTTTTCAGTGTATAGGCTGAACTGGGATCAGATAAAAGTGCACAGTAAGTCAATTTATAATACATATATACACATATGTATTTACATATATATAATTCTTCTAGAATGCATAATACAGAATTTTAAAACTGAAAATTTGTAAGACTGAGCAATATGAAGGCTAATTCCCAAAGTCTCAACATTCAATGTAAAGGAATTCCAGAGAGATGACGGCATGTGAGAAACAATATTTTAAAAGAAATACTTGTACCAATTTCCTAGAATTGAAAAAAAAAGAAAAATATTGCAAGTTACTTGACAGAAGGAATCTATCAAGCACCAAGTTAAAAAAAAAAAAGATTTGAAAACCCGTACCTAGGTAGATGATAGTGACATTTAAGAGCAGCAAGTCTAGAAAGGGACCCCAACATTTCCGGCAGTGAAGTAGAGGAAGCAGGGTACGGATTAATTATAAGAAAGTTAAGATTTAAATTTGGTGTCATATTTCTTATCAGGAATACTGGGTGGATGAAAAAACAGGGAGAAACGTCTTAAAAATCCTGAGGGAAAATAATTTTGAATTAAAATTCTAAGCCTTGCCAACTACCATTCTATACTGAGGACAAAATAATTTTCAGATGAAGAACTTATGCTTTCAGTAAGAGAAACTATCTCAATAAGTATAAGAGCAATGTAATTGTGTGACTCTAACAACACTGTCTTCCCACCATCACCTAGCACTTAAGGCCCATTACTTCCAACTCAACGTTTTCTCCTCATAGCATGTATCATCTTCTAAAATAAGATGTTATTAATTTATTGTGTTTTATTTGTGAGTTACCAATAGAATATACTCTACCAGAGTGCAGGAATCATTATCTACTTATTGCCTGATCTTGTACCACATATCTAAACATAATCTGCTACATCATAGGTGCTCAAATAAATATTTGCTGAATAAATTGAATGACTGAATGGTGGTTTAAAATACGTGAGATGAATTAGATTCAACTATAAGTAAATGTGGTGAAATCCACACTCTGTCTGGAATTCTAACATACAGTTCCTTTAGAAATTGTCGGAGAGGGTAGACAAAAAATAATTAAAGGCATAAAGAATTTCAATTTGACAACTATAACAAAGTGAATTGAATGCTTTACTGATTTATCCACTGCGGGACCTTCTATTGAATATTAAAGCAATAACATTAGAAATCAACAGCAGATTGATGACACTCACCCATAAATTTATAAGTCCCTTGAAAAGTAAGAAATGTCTTCGGATGCTGCAGAAAATACATGTTTGTATATAAGAGTGTATATATTTATGTATGTAGTACTGACAGGAAATCTAAATCTTGCCATAATTGTTCTATTAAGCACAACTTCGTTAGCCCTAAGGACCTCAATTTCCCCATCTAGAAAATGAGAGTACAATAATTGTTCTTATAAAGATCATTTCATCAAATCACATCCATAAGAATGGCAAAAGAAAAATTAAGATTGGAGAACATGTTCACTTTTTTACACTGAAATATCTCAGCTATAGAGAGTATATGTCTACTAAACCACTTGTATGACTATCATAAACCTGAAACCCTTGGATGGTGACTTTTGTCTTCTATTTTTGCAGAAATTGAAAAAGAAAGTTGTGGCGATCCTGGTACACCCTTATATGGAATTAGAGAAGGCGATGGATTTTCTAATCGTGATGTTTTAAGGTTTGAATGCCAGTTTGGGTTTGAATTAATTGGAGAGAAATCCATTGTTTGTCAAGAGAATAACCAATGGTCTGCAAACATACCCATCTGTATCTGTGAGTACCAAATGCTTTGCTTCCAGATAGCATATGTTACCCTGTCCTTGCATATAATTGCTTTTGTAATTAATTGCAAAGATCTGGAACCATGTAATTATTTTTGAATGAACAGCACTTTGTGATACTATCTTTAACAAGTGTGCTTATGCCAAATTATAAATTTCATTATAGATTTAAATAAAGTTAACATAGTTTACTTGGTAATTGCAAAGTATATGTTACATGTGTTCTCATAATACTTTATGGGTGGCATTTTATACTTTATAGATAGCATACTTCTTGGGAATTACATCTCAGCTAATTCTAACAGCCTCATTTATTTTAGCAATATATAGTATATATGCTTATCTGCAATCAAAAGCACTTAAAATCTTTAAAGTTTATATTCTGTGTTTAATGCATTAACTTATTTTTGCTTGTAGGTGCTCATACTAATCCATACTCATGTGACATTTATTTATATTACACAGAATAAAATTAATTAATGTTTATGATATACAGTATGGATTAAAAGACTGCATCTCTCCAAATATATTAAAACATTTTAATTCAACTACAACAAAAATATAATTTGTATTAACTGTTATTGTATTTTTGATTCAATTAAATCCTATCTTCATTACTGACAAATACAACTTATTAGGTGTGAGCTCAATACTGGAAATTTTGCATTTTATTTTTTAATAGTCACAATTGACAACATATAAGCCAATAATCAAAAAAGTAAAAATACTTTTCTGGTTTTCAAATATCAGTATCCAACTTACAAGGATTGTGTCCTCATTTGTGAAATCCTTTATTCCGTACAAAGGCATTAGCACAAATTTTACTTTAAAATTTAACTGGTTTAGAAAAGAATAAATCACAGTTTCCAAGATCTACATTTTATCTGAATCATATGCTGCAAAATAGATATTTTTCTTTATTGAAAATGTTGAATATTTAACATTCTTAAGGAAATAACTGAGAACTTTTAAAGTGACTACAGGCCAACTATTTTCTAATATATGTATTGCTTAGATTTAAAAAAAAGGACAGAAAATAGCAAGTAAGCATTACTGTTTTACATTCAGTATTCTGGATTCATATTGCCATGATAATTAATCTTACATTGCAGCAAAGTGGGTATTTTTAGAATGTGGCAGAAATTTCTCCAGTTCAAATATATTTTGCCTGCTCTTTAGGAATTCTAGAAGAGGAAGAATGCACAGACCCCCTTAACAGAACTCTCTCCAGTTTAGGACCTGTGCTCATCCCTAACCCAGATCACTTTGTGAAGTTCCTATCGTGAAAGAAGAAAATACATTAGGAGAGTCAGCTTTGATTCCATTAGCATTATCTAAAGCTTAGCAATACTTCAGAAGAGGTTAATCAAAGATCTTTACTTTTTGGTGTTCTTCCAAGGAGACAGTGTTGGTGAATTATTGGAGAATCTCTTAATGTCATATATCACATTAAAAATGAAAATGTTATTAATGCATCTTAATATATACTAAAATGTATTTAATAAGATATTTAAAATATAGCTTATATACATGAATGTAAAAACTCTTGAAAAACCTAGGGAGTACTTTTAACTATTCTAAAAAGAATTAATACCTACAACTTGATATATGATAAAGATGTAGTAGTAGTTTCCTTATATACCAATAATAGATAATTTGAAGATATAATTGAAAGTATATTCAGAAAAAATAAAATTACCATTTAAAATACCTGATAATAATCTTTACAAAAATCCAAATAACTCATAAGAAATTTATAATCTTTTTGAGAAAAGGAAATTTATGAAAAAGGAAAATATAAATGTTATGTTCCTGAATGAGAAGACATCATATTAAATATGATAATTACGTAGAAAATTCTTTGAAATTTCAACAAAAGTCCTTAGATACTTTCTTTGGGTACTTCACCTAATGTAATAACACACAGAAGGTAAAAAATAAGCAATAAAAGAGATGTGAGAATTTTTTAAAGCAAAGTGCTTATGTGGATACTAAAGCATAATATTAAGTTATCACCATAAAATTAGCATGTACTCATGGAAATATAATATTGAGCCAATATAATTATATATTCTATATATCCTCGAATATAATAAAGGGTTTAGAGTATTATATAGCTATCTACCTATCTATCTGATAAAGGAGATTAGCATAGTAGATTTTGGTCAGGTTTTAGGCCACATGAAGGATCATTTAAATCAGAGATTGGCAAAATAAGGCATATGTGCCAAATCTAGCCTGAAGGGTAGTTCTGTAAATAAAGTTTTGTTGGAACATAACCATGTACTTTCATTCCCCTATTGTCATGGCTGCTTTCCTGCTACAGGGACAAAGTTAAGTAGTTGTAAAGAGTCCACGTGACTTACCTTTATAAGCATTTACTGTCAGTCTCTTTACAGAAGTTTTTTTATCTTTGATTTAGAACAAAATTAATAGAATCATAATTCCAAGATGCAAACAGTAGAAATGTAAAGAGGAAACAGGAAAGGCTAAATGTGTGTACACTTGTTATGGAAGTTGATAGGCAACTGAAGTCAATAACTTCAGGAGACCTAGAACTCCAGATTTTTCCCCCTCAGTTGTGAAATATGATAATTTCAAGATTTTGTCAGAATATAAGAAAAAAATCAAACCAAACACATTTGCAGTCTGGATTCAGTGTGTTGTCTATCAGTTTCCAAGCCCTGGTTTTAACTCATAACATCATTCCATGCAGAACAAGCTAATTTAAGTTGGAAATATAAAAAAAGAATGAGGAACCTATATATACATGCACACACATACATATAAGATCATATGTAATTTATTACATATAATTGATTCTATATAATTAATGTATAGAATTATTATAATTATTTTATACTACATATATATGTAGACATAGCTAACTGTATTTTGTAGATAAGAGAGGTAGATATTGGATTATTACTGAATGTTAATAGAAGATCTAAACATAAAACAAAGTAAAAAATGCAAAGGATTATTTTTAACATCCAAATTAAATCATTATGAACAAAAACAAAATTATGGATATCGTATGAATTGTAATATTATATGAATATTGTAATCCAAGATTATAATATTAAATGAACAGAGTTAATGAGCAAATTATTCCAAAAACAAAATATAAATGTCTAATAAACATATGAGAAATCTTCAACTTCACTAGTAGGCAAAGAAGAGCAAATTGATACAAGGAGATTTCATTTTTCTCATCAAATGAGAAAGGTAAAATAATCCCAATATTTTATGATGGCAGGGATATTGTATGCTCTATTATTAATTTATTATATATGCCAGTATAAGCTAATACAACTACTGTAGGCAGAAATTTAGCAAAATATTTTGAGGCTTAAAGTTCATAACCTTTGTAAATAAAATTTTGGGGCAAAATTATATGAATTCAGTTTTATTAAAAATTTGTAATATAAACCATTAGAAAAACTACATCATTATTTTAAGTATGATTTCCTCTATGTGATAGATCATTTAGTTTTCTGTTTCTTTATCTTCTGTTTTTTAATGTTCTATGTGAACCTTTAAATCACATGTTTTTAAAAGTTAAATAAAAGTTGTAGGGAATCTTAGTATGGTGTGAGAGTTTAGTTGTCTTTCCAGGTCAGTCACTAATGGTGGCTGTTATAACAGTTAATACATCTCCTAATCTGTGTTGTAAACTATCAGAGCCTCCTGTGGTCATGGTAGGAGTGAACCCTCATCACCACCCTTACTCCAAGTTTTCTCTGGGCTACATCATTCCATCCTGTTAATATCCTCATAATATTTTTTTTCTTTTATCATTTAATAAGCATTACTGCTTTCTATGAGAATTTCTAAATAATTCTCCAGTATTTTTGTATTAAGGAATCATTGATATACAGTCACATGAAGGTTTCACATGAGCAACATTGTGGTTACTCCATTCATCCATATTATCAAGTCCCCCACACACACCCCATTGCAGTCACTGTCCATCAGCATAGTAAGGTGCTATAGTCACTACTTGTCTTCTCTGTGCTATACTGCCTTCCCTGTGACCCCCCGTACATTATGTGTCCTAATCATAATATCCCTTCATCCCCTTCTCCCTCACTCTCCACCACCATCCCCACCCTCTTTCCTTTTGATAACTGCTAGACCCTTCTTGAAATCTGTGAGTATGCTGCTGTTTAGTTCCTTCAGTTTTGCTTTGTTGTTTTACTCCACAAATGAGTGAAGCCATTTGGTACTCGTCTTTCTCCACCTGGCTTATTTCACTGAGCATAATACCCTCTAGCTTCATCCATGTTGTTGAAAATTGTAGGATTTGTTTTCTTCTTATGGCTGAATAATATTCCATTGTGTATATGCACCACCTCTTCTTTATCCATTCATCTTTTGATGGACACTTATTTTGCTTCCATGTCTTGGCTACTGTAAATAATTCTGAGATAAACATAGGGATGGATATGTCTTTTTGAATCTGAGATCTTGTTTTCTTTGGGTAAATTCCTAGGAGTGGAATTCCTGGGTCAAATGGTATCCCCTATTGCTTTCCACAATGGTTGACCTAGGACATTCCTACCAACAGAGTAGGAGGGTTCCCCTTTCTCTGCATCCTCTGCAGCATTTGCTGTTCTTAGTCTTTTGGATGTTGGCCATCCTAACTGGTGTGAGGTGATATCTCATTGTGGTTTTTATTTGCATTTCCCTGATAATTAGAGATGTGGAGCATCTTTTCATGTGTCTGTTGGCCATCTGAATTTCTTCTTTGGAGAAGTGTCTGTTCATATCTTCCACCCATTTTTTTAATTGGGTTATTTGCTTTTTGGTTGTAGAGGCATCTGAGTCATTTATCTATTTTGGATGTTAGCCCCTTGTTGGATATGTCATTCACAAATATATTCTCCCATACTGTAGGATGCCTTTTTGTTCTACTGATGGTGTCCTTTGCTATACAGAAGCTTTTTAACTTGATTTAGTCCCATTTGTTCATTTTTGCTTTTGTTTCCCTTTCCAGAGGAGATATGTTCAGGATAAAGTTGCTCATGTTTATATTCAAGAGATTTTTGGCCATGTTTTCTTCTAAGAGTTTTATGGTTTCATGACTTACATTCAGGTTTTTTATCCATTTAGAGTTTACTTTTGTGTATGTAGTTAGACAGTAATACAGTTTCATTCTCTTGCATGTAGCTGTCCAGTTTTGCTAACACCAGTTATTGAAGAGGCGGTCATTTCCCCATTGTATATCCATGGCTCCTTTATCGTATATTAATTGGCCACATATGTGTGTGTTTATATCTGGGCTCTCTATTCTATTCCATTGATCTATGGGTCTGTTCTTGTGCCAGTACCAAATTTTCTTGATTACTGTGGCTTAGTAGTAGAGCTTGAAGTTGGGGAGTATAACCCCCATTTTCCAGTATTTTTGAAGCACAGAAGATAAACTTTACAGAGCACTCTAACACAAACATGATAACTGTCAAAATGAATTGTTATTACTCCAGTGATATCTTTATGCAGATTTGCACATAGTCATACAAAGTACTAGGAGTCCTTTGTAATATGTGAAAATAACTTTTTTTTCTGTCTTGCACAATAATTAACATTAATATAGTTTTCAAATTGCTAACTGTCATAATTGTAGGATATGGCAAAATGAGATAAACTATTACTTTTGAGCATTTACTATACTATAATTTTCCTATTTTAACAGTTCCTTGCCTCTCTAACTTTACTGCACCAATGGGAACAGTCCTTTCTCCTGATTACCCAGAAGGGTATGGAAATAATTTAAACTGCATCTGGACAATAATCTCTGATCCAGGGAGTCGGATACACCTTTCTTTTAATGACTTTGATCTGGAATCCCAGTTTGACTTCCTTGCTGTTAAAGATGGTGACTCTCCAGACTCCCCGGTTCTTGGAACCTTTACTGGGGCTGAGGTGCCTTCACATCTTACTAGTAATAGTCACATACTGCGATTGGAATTTCAAGCTGACCACTCAATGTCAGGACGTGGTTTTAACATCACTTACAACAGTAAGTTTGTTTTTTCCATATAACATATTTCTATAAAGTAGAGCTAGAAAGGAATCCTGCAAACTGGCTTTTTTGTTCCATAGATAAGGAAACTTGAACAAGGCATGTACATAATTATGCCAGGGACCACCATTTAATCCTTGATTACAACCATATTTTTCTCCCTATTGTGTCATTTTTCATTGATGTGTGTGGCCTAATATTAAAGAAATATGTTTCAAATACTATTATTTTATTAACCAATATATTAGCTTATTCCTTTATGTCTTACAAGAAGGAGCTCAAACGTGTCCTACATTGCTTGCTATGCTCCATTGTTGGTATGGAAGCATGAAAGAAGATAGATCTTCTCTTCAAGATATTCATAAACCAATAGGGGACTTTAAACAACTAATGACAACACAGAGTTGTACTTCCAAGATACAATTAATAAGGCTACAGAAGCATCATAGAGAAGGAAATCATTTAACTTACAGGCAGTAGACCACTGTGCTAACTTAGCAATATCTCTAAGGGGGGAAAATAGTGATTAAGAGTACCAGTTCTAAAGTAAAACTATATAACTTCAAATTTTGGCTCTGCTACATTTTTAGGTTTAAAAACTGATCCTTAGTGTCCTCATCAGTAAATAGTTCCTGAAAGGAGAATATTAGGTGATGCCCATATCTAGCATAGAGTTTATGATACCTAGTAATTGTTCAATAAACAGTAGCTATTATTTAGTTGGCTTTTGAGCTATTACTTTTACATCTTATTTGTGTTTATTTTATTGCTCTAGATTTGAGATTTCTTAGAGGTTACTTAGGTATTGTCTATCACTTATATTCTGTGTATTTCAAGAGGATGAATATTATTTTTCTGAAAAAATGGTATAAATACAGCAAAATGATGAGTCACATAAAGGAGAAAATATCTTAGTATGTACGTTAATATACTTAACATACCAATGCTTCTGTTTACAAATGTTTTACCTGAAGTGATAGAAACTAGTGACTTTTATGTTATTCCTTGAAGCTACCACACTCTCAGCTATTGACCAACTTGATGAATTAATATTTAAGTGTCATGTAACAATAGGATTCTTTAGAAAAAGAATTGCATAACGTAACTCCAATCTTCCCATTCAATGGTGAGCTTTGACAATTAGTAACAAAAAGCAATTATTGTCTTTTCAAAGTGTCACTAGTGGTGAATAATGTCACTAATAAGCTGTCAACATGTAATTGCATATCATTAAAGTTAAATTAGCTGTGACATGTGTCATAGAGACATGCTGTATAAAATGGTTGCTTTATCTGAATGTTCTTATAGAAAATATTTCACATATATAAAAATAGATACAAATATGCCCTTATCTATTTATAATTTTAATTTTATCTTAAATTAATGATGTTTTTAACTTTAATGTTCATGACACCTTCAGGTATGCAAATATGCCTCCATATTTCTTGTTGCGTTTCTCCAGTAAATAATTTAATTATTTAATTAAATTTTAATATTTAATGCTTACTACTGAAATTATTTCTTCTCTGAAAAAAATAGCTAGCAGGCATTATAAAAGGAACAACTTGGCTTAGTCAAATCTAAGTTTTTTAAAAACACAACCCTAAACAATGATTAGAAATATGTATATCTACAAAATGCATTATATATATATTATATTTATTTTAATATTGTTTTTTACTGTTTAACTTAAAAATGAGAATGGGTACTAAAAATTATGTAATTTATGAATAATATCAAAGTGATTATATTGAGAAAATTTAAATAACTGCAAATACTTATCCAGTATGAATGTAATAATATTAAATTTAAATACCTCATAAATATGTTTTATGCATTTAGATTTTTCTGTTTAAGTACTCTTCCATTTATGATGCTAATTTAAGCACTTACCATGCATAGTTGGTCATCCAGATGAATAAAGAAAAATATTTGAAGGGCTCATGTAATCTATAATCTGGAGAGATTCACATGAGCACATTGTCAGTACACCTCCTATTCTTGCTGGGACTGGGTTTATATACACCATAGGAGACACAGGGTTAAGTAAGGTAATAGCCCTGGACTCATGAACTCACATTCTCTTGAGAGACATGAAGCAATAATCCAAGATACAATAGGTTGAGAAAAAAATTAAAAGCCAGATCAGGGGATACGTTTTAATCCTGTCTCTATGACCTGAAGCAAGCTAATCAACTTTCTTCTGAATCTCACATTACTCTTTAGAATAAATGGCAATGCTTTGTTCATCTGGCTGTTCTAAATGTTAAATGAGAAAATAACATTTGTAAAGCTCTTATTACCAGTGCCTAGAACCTGATAATTGCAAAAGAACTCTCTTCCCTTTTCCTAGATGGCAGAAAGTAGAGGATATATGGAAAACTATAAAGAAATTTTGAGACTTTCATACTAAATTGAAATATTCACCATAATGCTTATAAGGAGACTATCTCTCCATTCCAAACAGTGAATCACAAGAAAAGTTTAAAATAGGATATAGTCAGTGTGCTCTGTATTCATATTAATTGGAAATCTCACTAGCCTATACTAACATTTTTGTACAGAGTAAGCCTAATGATCTCCAGAAATAAGTAAAAATAACTCAATTTTGAAGTGTTGTAATCTTGGAGTGTAACTCATATTTTTAAAAAGATCACACCTATTACACATCACAGGTGAACAGGTATGGTCGGAGGAGAGCTTCCAAATTTTTTTTTTTAATAAATAAAAGTTTTTCCAGAAATAAACATAATCTTCTTAAAAATCAATTTTTCTTATCTCAGTGCACAAAGGTCTCTCTCATACTGCCTGTTTGTGTGTTTTTGTTTGTTTATTGTTCTGAAGCATTTGGGCATAATGAGTGTCCTGATCCTGGAATACCAATCAATGCACGACGGTTTGGGGACAACTTTCAATTAGGAAGTTCAATTTCAGTTATTTGTGAAGAAGGATTTATTAAAACTCAGGGAACAGAAACAATTACATGTATTCTTATGGATGGAAAAGTAATGTGGAGTGGACCAATTCCAAGATGTGGAGGTAAGTGCAATGGTCAATGAACCAAATATGTAACCCTGTAGTCATTATGCACTAGAAACCAAAACAGGAAATTCATTGTTCTACTAGGACTGTAGTAATCTTAAAATATATTTTATAGATATTATCTTAAATTTAAATTATCTATTATCTAAATTATTTTACAATACTATTTATATTGTACATTAGACATATATATTAAAACAAGTTACACTTTTAATTTTTCAGGTGAAAACAGTTTTAGAGAACTTTTAGAAGCTCCCTTTAGAAAGAGTTCTTATTTAAAAGATACATATTAATAAACAGTAAATATTGGCTGTATGTGCAAATTCTCATTATACTTCATAGTTGTAGTTTAGTATACTTCATAGTATCCAGTCATATTTTCTTGATTTTTTAACTATTCATGGTATAAAATTTGATTTTTAAATATGTGTTGACTATTATTAATTATAATAAGCTTATTATAGTTCACAGTTGCAAATTATATTGGTAAGAAATGAGGATCATGCTTAAAAATAAAATATATCAAGTGCATATCAGTTTAGAATGTAAAGGAATGTGTGTGGGGGGAGCTTTATTTAGCATTGTCAGAGTAGAAATTAACATTCAGAATTCTACTTTTCTCCTTTCACTCTAGTATATAAGGTTACATGTCTATTTTAAATCAAAAGATATAAAAAAGCTTTTATTAAGAAATAGATGAACTAGAACTATGAAAGACCTTTTAATGGATCACCAAGTAATGATCAGATGATAATTTCTAAATGGTGTCTTATTTTCCCTGCTTTCCCAATTTTTCTTCCCATGGACCAAACTAATAATGGAACCTTTGTTTTCTCAATTTCTAGCTGATAAATTGAGAATATTTAATATATACTTTTCAGAAGTATAGCAGACTTGACTGAATAATACAGCCATTACCTATAAATACCATTTCATTGAATCAAACATTAGCATAATGTCTCAGGATGAAGTAATCCAGGCCATGCAATTGTGTTTTTCTATTAGCTCCTTCAAATAGCAGCTCCCTCCTCTTCTAATGGCTTTCTCATTTGCAATATCAGGGGGCTGACCTAGGAGTTCACTGTTTTTTTGCAAACCTCAGATGTTGTGGGCTCAGTAGAAGTTACCCTGGCAATGTTTTATGACTGTGTTAATTATGTCTAAAAACATAATGAAGTTTAAAAACAATAAAAAGAGAAAAATGGAAAGTAATATTCAGTTTTTTTTCATACTTTGTTCTTGAGCTCATTCATTCTTTTAATCACAGTTCCTGACCCAGACTTCAGGAATGAGTCAGCAATGCCCACCTCAGCATTTGAAGGAAAAACAAGGAGATGGGATAAAAGTCTGTTTCAGATAGAAGGAATAGGACTAGTTTAGTGTGACTGAGGGAAGAAAGGAGGACAGAGGTGTAAGGGGTTCAGAGCATGACATGCTTTGTCAACAATGCTTAGCAGACTCAGAATTATCTTGTGGCCAGTGAGAAGCCACCTCAGCTTGGAAGTGACATGATGAGCACTCTGCCCTGGGGGTTGTCTACAGTCCCAGGGAGCAAACTCAGAGACCACCTCCAGGTAATTGTTGTATCTCTTCAAATCCTCACTTGCCTAACTTGGGTGTTGGTCTAGGAGCTGCTTGGTGCCTAGCTGCATAGGGATGTGAAAATAATGAGGCTGACACCACCAAGTCATTTTACAAATTGCTGCTTAATTTGAATGAGATTTTTTGCTATGAAAAATGGGTGGTAAACAACCAAAAATATTCAGAACTCTAAGTTGGCACAAGCCATTAGGCCCTCCCAACATCCTAAAATTAATTTCATGAGGTTTCTGAAAGGAAAAGAATATTTTTTTCAGCACGTAAGAGTGCAGCTCCATACAGTTGGCCCTCCTGCCAATTTCTGGATCCAACACCAGGGTGGGAACATCACTAAGGATATGGTTGGAACCAGGGAGGGCAAATTGGAGTGGTCCGAGAGCAGTCTTACCGTGGCCCTTAATGGTTACCTGCCATATCCCAGGCTGTATTTTGAGCTACTTTCCACCCAATAAAGCCAGCTGCTGTCAAATTCTATTTAACTACCTCTGATAAGTTTCATTTCTTAGATACTACTTAGAGTATTAAAGATTTCCCTTAGTTTTGCCTCTGTTCTCCTTAGGTACTGTAACAGAAGCCTGCAACTATCTGAGATAATCTTACTCTTTTCTTTTCTAAACATTTTTTTGTTTTGTTTTGTTTAAATCATTCACCTTCCTCCACCACTTCCAAAACTGCCCACACAGTGACTCCCACTTACATAGAACTATGTCTGCGAGCTGCTCTTCCTACCTTCTTTGTCTGCAGACCTTCAGTATTTTGACTGAAAAGTTTTGCATATTGTTTACTACAGATTACCTTTTAGGTCCCTATCACAACCTCTAATATATGTTTAATATTTTAGTTAAACTTTTTCATCAGCATATTTGACATTTTATATGGATAAGATATATACATGTGTATATGTTCTAATTAATACAAATAACTTTCTACTTATATTTTATTCTCTTCACACAAAACATTCCAAAACCAACTGCATTGTTTAAAGGTGTTTATGTGTATGGATCACTGTGTTATCATTAGAAAGTAGAAACATATTTATTTTAATCAGAATTTATAGAGCAAGAGAAGTCAGCATAAAACGTTTTTATTAAAAAAAAAAATATCTAAGACTTGAACCACTTGAAGATTGACCTCTCCTGATGGGTGCTCTCTGTCACAATTGTCTACAAGTTTAGGCATATTGGCCAGTTAATGAGCCATCCGTGTCAACCAGTCTTCAACCCTAAAAGTGTGGAAAATTTTTGAGAAAAGTGAAAGGAAACTTTTCATCTGCCATAGTCCTTGAATAAGGATTGTCGGGACTGAAAGGGAGAAATGAGATCACAGTGTGTTGCAGTTCTGTGATCCCACAGCTGAATTTAGATTCAGCTTTCTCTACATAGCTTCAATATAATTGTTGAACAGAATTTGGGTGATGCATTTTATTCAGTGACCTGTAGTTCGACACTGAAGCATTAGCTAAAGATAGATTTAAGCTATCTTGTAAAAATTTAAAACTCTTTCTCTAGAATGGGTTGATCAAATTTCCTCATGAAGAATAAGTTTTAGATGCTTTTTAAAGCCTTTTGGTCTTTAAGTTTTGCCAGTGGAAACAGAATGCATTAATTACTGTATCAACAATGAAATCATTTACTTTGAATTGCACAGACTTAGCAGCTTAACTCAATTTTTGGGACAATCAATGACTTCTTCACCCCCGCGTAGACTGTACCCTGACTATAACTGGCTCCATCTGGGGCCAGTCCCTGCATGGTGTCTGCTTCAAAGATACATCCTAAAGCAATGAAGAACAGTGTAGGTGGCCATATCATAGCACTCTGATGAGGTGATTCAGGGATTTTCATGATAAGTCACCCAGAAAGCTTCCTCTTTCTTTTTCCTCACCAAAGTTTCTGGCTCTCAGCAGCTGCAGAACACTTTCTAGCCATGTAGCGCCCTCATGACCAGCTGTCCTCACACCCCTTTGCTGTTCTGTGCTGCACTGCCCAGGCCCTCTGTTGGGCACCTATGAGCCTCCTCACTAAATTCAGCCTCAGGAGGTGCAGTATTCTCATGAGAATCTATCCTTGGAATTCTTTCTTTCCACACATTTCCTTCTCACAATGTGTTCAAAATTCCTTTCTGGGGTTTGAGGGCATGGCCAGGCTCATCCAGATCATTCACAGAGGCTTTTCCACCATCCTAGGTGCTAGGAAATTTGGCAAAGGCTGAAAGGGGCACAGTGTAACTGCATTTAGTTGTATTTCTCTCATCTGTTTGTGTGCGTGTTTTCTCCTGAAACATGGGTACTATGGTGTTGTGCTTTCACTTCTTTTTCTCGAGGGAGAACTAAGCAACTAGATTTCCTTTACCATACCAAGCAATAAAAACTGGGGCTATCCCTGACCCTCAAATCCTGGAATTTTTTCTTACCTGATAAAATCCCAGAGTTTTTCTAGTCATTAGAATTTCCCTTGTGACCAGTACTGCTATATAAAAATAAAGTTTTAAGATACAATATTTGACCCAGTCAGAGAAGTTTTTCTATTGGGCTTGAGAAACCCACTAATCTCTTTCCACACATATTTCTGTCTTTCCAACAGCCAGCTCCAAAAGACTCTAGCATATCTGCCTTATTGTCCATACTCCAAATGACCTGAGCATCATTATTTGGCCTCCTTTCTTCATTGTCTCTTTCCACCACTATTTAGTTTAAAGTCTATTTTGTATGAGGCTTTCTCTTTTAAGTACAGCCATAATTAACTCATTTTTGCTAGCTTTGATTTGCTTCACCAGATTCATGGTACCCTTTATGGTGGGGTTGACTCTGGTTGTTTGGTAAGTTGACTTTAGGTCCAGTCTGCCATGAATTTGTTACAGGTGTTTCTGATCCTCTCATCTGTCCATATCTTTTCCTAGCAGATGTCTTGCTTTTAACCATTTCTAAGAGTTTACCACAGATCCAGAATATGTCATTCCAATATTTGTGCTCAATAAAATTCTTCTGGATATCCACATCCTCCAGTGTGGTGAGGCCTACTCTCACTAGCTGGAGGATTTTGATGGATCTGAGTCTACAAATATCACCTAGTGTCCCATGCTGTAGATAAGAAGGCATAACCTCAAAAGCTTACAGAATTAAGGCAATAACAGAAATGAGTTAGGTAGGCTGAAAAAAACAGGCTACTTTCTAAGGGTAAGGTGTGATTTTTTTACCTAGTCCAAGCTCATGATTCTCTGCCCGACATGCCAATAAATCAAGAGACAAGATATTTGGTCAATGAAAACAACTTTATTCAGAAAGTCAGCTGACCAAGAAGATGGCATTCTCATGTCCTAAATAAGTATCTTCACTCAGGGATGTATCACAAGTTTCTTTTATGCTAGGAGAAGTGGATCAAGAGAGGGAACAGGCTAGG